TCTTAACTGAATAAACAGCAAAACTTCACTAATAAGCACAAAAGGATCTGGTCAAGTTTATAAAAACAAACAATGCAAGGAAACACATAAAAATACCAAGAGTAGCTGCCTGGAAAACGTAAAACAGATGTCTTTCTTTTATGTTTTAAAAATATTTCAAATGATACCATTTAGGAACTTATCTTAAGGAAATAATCAAAGAAGTACACAAACCTTTTGATTCAAAGGTGTTCAATGCAACTTTTTTTATATTTTAAAAATGGAGACAGCCTAAAAGTTCAAAATCAACACTCAAAGTGTTAATTCTTTAATGCCACTATAAAACAACAAAATACAGAGCAGTATTAAAAACAGAATATTGACAACATAAAATTTATGTTACGTCTATATTCTTTATCTACATTGTTTTTAAGAATCACACTACCAAACATTATGTAAAAAATGTGAAAAATTTTGTTGAAAATAATACATCTAAATGGTACAGTATTGAGTAGTAACATTATTAGTGATTTATACTTTCTACTTTATAATTTTCTTAGGTTCCTAGAATGCTATCAAAAAACATATCATTCCTTGGAACTTTTATGTATTGCATGGTGGGAATGTAAAATTGTGTAGCCACTATGGAAAACAGTATGGCAGTTCCTCAAAAAATTAAACACAGAAATACCATGTTATCCGCAATTTCGCTTGTAGGTATGGTGGTGGTTTAGTCACTAAGTCATGTCCGACTCTTGCAACCCCATGGACTGTAGCCTGCCAGGCTCCTCTGTCCATGGGATTCTCCTGGCAAGAATACTGGAGTGGGTTGCTATTTCATTCTGCAGGGGATCTTCCCGACTTAGGAATAGAACCTGGGTTTCCTGCACAGCAGGCGAATTCTTTACCGACTGAGCTATGAGGGAAGCCCACTTGTAGGTGTATACACCCAAAAACTGGAAGTAGAGGCTCAAACAGATGTTTGTACACCGATGTTCACAGCTGCATTATTCACAGAAGCTGAAAATGGAAATAATTCAAATGTCTCCTGACAAACAAGTGGATAAACAGAAGGTGGTACACCCATAGAGTGGAATATTATTCAGCCTTACAAAGTTACATGTTACCCAACGGATGAACCTCAAAGACAACACAAAAGGACAAATATTGTATGATTCCACTTCTATGAGGTGCCTAGAAAGGTCAAAGTCCCAGAGAGAAAGCAGAATGATGTAACCAGGGGCTGCAGGGAAGTGGGTGGAGTGGAAGTTATTGTTCACTGGGTACACTGTTGCACTGTCCATCTCTGAACCAAGAGCTTTATGTACTTCTTCCACTATTTCCTTAAGGTAAGTTCTTAAGTGCTGTTATTTAAAATACTTTTAAAGTATAAAAGAAAGACATGCATTTTACCTTTTCCAGGCACCTACTCTTGGCATTCAGTGGGGAGTGATGAAAAGTTTTGGAGATGGATACTGGCCATGGTTGCACACACGCAGATGCACATAATGTCATGCATGCAATGCTCTTGACTGTCTGCTTAAAACTAGCTAAAAAGGTAAGTTTACATATACTTTACAACAATAAAAAGAAATCTGGAAAAATATCGGAATTATTAAGACAAATATTTTCTAAATTTATTTTTATTTATTCCTACTAAAACTTTTTTTAAAAGCAGTTTAAGACTCACAGTAAAACTGAGGGGAAGGGACAGAGAAAAAACATGCAGTTAGGAAAAGAACAGAATGAACTACAAAATGGAATAATCTCCACTAACCTGAAATGGATGCCATTCTAAAGTTGAACCGGAGAGCCAAATTTCTCTCTAAAAGTGAAAGAAAAATCAGAGCAACGTTTTCTTAAAAACAGTACTGTTGATAATACTCAATGATAATCTGTCGTTACTGAGCACAAAAAATGTTAGAAAGTAGATTATATACTGCAGTGACTTTTCAACAATCTACATGGTTCTTCCCACTCTACTTTTTATGGGGAATTCTCTAGATTTCAGAGAAGTAACCAAAGTCACACAAATATAACAACAAGTATGACACCAAAAACATTTAACAAACACCCAGCAAATACTTAGTGAAGTTGCAAAAAAAAAGCAAAGCTTAGAGGTTAAACAGCTTTCAGTCAGTTCAATTTAGTTCAGTCACTCAGTCTTGTCCAACTCTTTGCGACCCCATGAATCACAGCACGCCAGGGCTCCCTGTCCATCACCAACTCCTGGAGTTCACTCAAATCCATGTCCATCGAGTCGGTGATGCCATCCAACCATCTCATCCTCTGTCGTCCCCTTCTCCTCCTGCCCCCAATCTGTCCCAGCATCAGGGTCTTTTCCAATGAGTCAACTCTTTACCACTATATTATTGTGTGATTTTAGCAAACTTAAAACAATCTGTTCCTCTCAGCCACTTTCCCTGTCTGTAAAATTGGGATGGTGGAACCTATTTTACAAATAGCAAGTTGGATAGATTCAAATATCCCAGATAAAGCAAAACCCATTCATGAACTACTCAAATTAATCATTTAGCATTTTACTGAATATTTGCTCTAAAGGGTTGCAATTTAGGCTCAATTTTAAAAGAGGAATTGGTATTTTGCGGAGGGATGAGATTTCAGATGGAGAGAACACAAAGAGTTCAGAAGTGGGGAAAAATCTGGTTTGTATTAAGAAATAGTTCTGAATGGTTAACACTTAAGAGTACACACAAGCAAGTGGAAGGAGCTGAGTCTGGAGGAACTTTATTTAGCTTATCCATAACCTCCAAGAACACCTTTTCCAACTCTGATATGGACAACTAACATTTTCTGAAACTAAGTCAATGTCTCCAAAGGTAGCTTCAGCATCACCCTACCCTTATCCAAATTGCTCACCCTATGCCCTGTCTCATGTAGAATTCTGAGCCACCAGTAGGCTGGAAAAATAGGTAGGGTCTTCTGTGACTTGCTAAGAAGCTTGAAAGAGTCACAACACTAAAAGCTATTTAAGTAGAGGAGTAAACCAAGGACTTCTAATTCTTTATCTATATGAACACGCCTTCACCATTTCATGGAAATAGAATTCTCCTTCTCTGGACTGTAAGATTCTCCAGTAGGGTAGAGATTGATCTCTTCACCTCTGTACCCATGTAGCCCGGTAAAATGCCTTGCAGATAGTGAAGGCTCAGGGCGGCACTAGTGCCAATACAAGAGATCTAAGAGATACAGATTCAATCCCTGGGCCGGGAAGATCCCCAGGAGGAGGGCATGGCAACCCACTCCAGTATTCTTACCTGGAGAATCCCCATGGACAGAGGAGTCTGATGGGCTATGGTCCATAAGGTCACAAAGAGTTGGACACGACTGAAGGGACTTGGCATCCTGGCACACAGGTTTGCTGAGATTGAAAGCAGAGGCTTTCTCCACTCTTATGAAAGAATGTAATCTACAAACCTACAACCATTTCCCCCCACTATTTTAAACAACTCCTTTGATCATATCATTTTTTTTTAAACTTCTTATAAACTCCTTCCCCAAATGATGTGATTTAATAGCAAAAGCTAGCTGAATATATGTTCAAAAATTAATGAGCTATGTATAGCAAATCTGTCAGAAGTATACCTAGACATTGTTTAAAATCCAAAACAAAGGGAGATCAGCCTTGAAAATTCCCTTTGCAGACAAAACCAACATAGCCATACAAACAAAGCTTAATTTAGCTTATTTTGAAAGACTAACTTGACCTGGGGCACTTTGCGTTTCTGCCTCTGGAAATCAGAAGCAAAACTCCCACTGTTACCCAAGATTGCTATGAGGTAACCACTAACCAATTCTGTATCTTTTAAGAAAATGTTAATATAACCAATCAGTGTAAAGAATAAACAATCAATGCCCTCTTACTAAACAAGCTGTTTTATATTAACTATATAGCCTTGAGCCTAATTCCATGTTTTGATTTGAGTGCTCTTGGTTGGCAAATTGTCTTTTTGGCATATACACAATGAACTTTTACTAATTACTACTTCCATGATTCAGTGGTTTTACTTCTGCTATATCTGAACTTTTGGTAGCATCCTCAGGAAATACTTTACAAGGTCTCATGTCAGTCATGCATGCTTGACATCAAGTGTTGGTGTTGTTGAGTCTCTCAGTCATATCTGACTTTTTGCGATCCTAAGGACTGCAGCACGCCAGGCCTTCCTGTCCCTCATCATCTCCCAGAGTTTAACCAAGTTCATCAGTGATGCCGTCCAGTCATCTCATCCTCTGAAGCCCTCTTCTACTGCCCTCAATCTTTCCCGGCATCAGGGACTTGACACCAAGTACCAGAGTCTAAATCTCTCTCTCTCTAATACACACACACACACACACACACACACACACACACCCTCTCTCCGCCACCTGGGTTTAGGTGCAACAGCAATTTAATAAAACCCTCCGTCACGCTTAGGCGTCCCCTCTGGCTTTTCCTAATAAACAGTGGTTGCAAATAAAAGGCTTTGGTGACCGAGTCTCCTGCCTGGAAAAAGCTGGTGATAAAGAGACCGACCGGCAGTGGAACGTGCCCCTAAAGGCCCGAGTTCCATTAGAGCTGGGTGATGATGGAGAGTTCCATTAGAGGTGCGAGGACCCCAGTTTCTCCCTCGCCAACGTACTGGTGGAAGGAAGTGAGCCGGCCTTCCCCATCTACCAGGAAAAGGAATGTTAGCTCTTTCAAAGAGGTAACAAGGGTTACCCCAGAACTTCTCCTCGGTGAAGTTAAGGAAGACATTCCTCCTCCTCGATCTCCGACCCCAAGACCCCCCTGACTCAGGTCTACTACTTACCCCTTTCAGCCGCACTCCAATAAAAACTTCCCGCCACCAGGCTTTCCTTTCTCTCCAGCCGGGGGCATTCACCCTTCCGGGTCGGTCCTTTCAACCAATTGCAGGTACTACCCTTTTCTTATTGGTCAAGGGGTGTGGCCACCATTTGCGTCACTGAACAAGACCAGAGATTACTGGTTGATGTTGGAAGCAGGTGTAGCCAATAGGAAGCGGGTTTGAACCTAGGGTGGGGGAGGCTGCGTGTTTCCGGAAGACGTGGCGGCTCTCGCCTGGGCTGCTTCCCGGCTTCATTCTCTCCACTTCGCTCCACACCCAGGGTACTCCGAGGTGCTGTTGTCGCGGTCCTCACCTCTGCAGCCATGATCTCGTTAACGGACACACAGAGTAAGCACCTGCCCCGAGGCCCCGCCTCAAGCCCCGCACACACCTTCCTCGGGCTGGGTCTCGCCCGCCTTCCCCTTCGCTTGCCCGGGTCAATGAATGAAGCTCCGCGATGGGGGCGGTGGCCCGCAATACTCAGCTAGCACTGCGGGACCCTGGAGGGCTTCCTGGAGGAGCCGGATGCTGGACTTGCGGCTGCGGACCTGGCGGGAGGGGAGAGTCAGTGGGGTCTGGGGGGACGCCCGAGCTGGGGAGGGGGAGCTTTCGCCAGCGCGCGGGGGTCGCGCCGCTCTCACACTCAGGAAGATGGGCGCTTTGTTCCTGCAGGCGGCCGCGAGAGAAAGTTTGATGCGCGATGCCAGCGGCCCACTCTTGGGGATATTTTTGCACTTGACATACTTGGGGTCCTCTACAAGTTACTCCTGGTTGTTTGGAGGCCGTGTTTTAAATGTCATCCATGATAGGCTCCTTTTGGAAATGTGCTTACGCTTAAATATTTTGAGTATTTGCTGTTTGCCACCACTGGAAGCAACCTTTTAAAAATCCCTTGAAATAGCTTCACTTTTCTACTGGCTGCTGTCTTCCCAATCGTAAACTTTGTGTTCAGTTAAACGACTTCTTTCGTTAAAATTGTATGTTGTGCTTTGTGATATGTTTTATTCTTTTAGCATCTTTCTGTCTGCCACAGAGTTCTCCAGCCTATCTTATCTCTAAGATTCGTATTGCTGTCTGTTTTCTTTCAATATAAAATTTCCAGTTTTCTACCCCTTTTTGTCAGTCTTAATAATTTTGTATTTACATATCTGCCAACCCCGTGCTTCTTGTCTTTTGATGGTAGTGATAGTCTTTTTAATCTCACTTTATCAGCCATGCCTTTTTTTTTATTCTGTATAACTTACTTGAATTTTAAAGATTTTAAGAACTAAACAGTCTGTTGAAATAAAAAATAGAGCTTCCTTTAAAAATGGCTTATTTTAAAGTGAAGTCGTAAGGTTTGGATTCAAGTCTTGACTAAATTGAACTTCACAAACCTGCTTATAACTCCTGCACACACTGCCACCCCAGGAGAGGTCCCTCCCTTCCTCAGATTGAACTGCGTCTGCGCCGTTGAATGCCCCTTTTGGTGTACCTGTTCTGATCAGAGAAAATAGAGAGTCCTTTTCTGTTTGTAGGTTTTTATGTTTGGGGTGTTTTTTTTGTTTTTTTTGTTTTTTTTGTTTTTGTTTGGTGTTATAATAAAACTACCAATTATATAAAAGCATCTCATATCAGCTTATCATGTGCTTTCATGTAAAATGTGTTCTGTAGTTCTAATAAGAGCCTTGTAAGGCAAAGAGGAATATGTCTCTTGTATAAATTAAGGAAGGCTCAAAAGAAATCCAGTGTATAATCATGAGGAAAGCGAGAGAAACAAGACTGAATCCCAGGCCTGCAGGCTCAAAAATCTTTGTTCTTTTCACTGTACCCTGGTAGCATCTAAGAAGACTTGATGTAAAGTTTATTTGAAATCTATCTTAGAGGGATGAAATTTTCCCATAGCAAAAAATAGTTTCAACAGTAGATATTTATTCTTTAGACTTATGCATTGATTTTTTGAGAGATGGGTAAAATATTCAGAGCCTATTTTCATTATGAGGCAGAACTCTGGTCCTCTTGACTGAAACCCAGAATTTAGCAGAATACTATACATAAATTGCTAGAATTTATTTCTAACAGTACTACTAATTACTCAGAGGAGGTACTTGATCTCTACGTAGTTTTCCTATCTGGTAATACTCCTGAGTCTGTGATTATTACATATATATATTATTTACTTACCCTGTGCATATAGATTCTATTCCATTGAAGTCTTAAGGGGACAAGTGCTAATTTACATCCTTCCAAAAACCAGAATGAGGGGGTTGGGTTGGAATATGGGCAGAATAGGCAGCATTCTCTTCACTTCATTACAGTGGTGAAGAGGAGGAAATTAAACCCTTTGCTGCTCATTTGCTGAATATTTTAAATAGATAATGGATGAGAATACAAAATGATTAGTAGACCAAAAGCTCTTTGGATTTCAACTGGTGTTTGTGTGTGTGTTCAACTGTAGGAATTGGCCATCATTCAAGTGACTTACCAAGATTATTCTGGCATCCCGATTCTGCGAGAGAGTGATCAAGTACTGGTCATAATAAAAAAGCAATTCATGACTTTAAAGGAATTGTATAATCCCCTCCAGTACCCCCTCACAAAAAAAACCCACAAAATTTATTGAGGAGGCTGGAGTGGGGCAGTTCCCATGCTACCTCTAAATCTTTACTTCATTATGTCACATTGCCTAAATTCTACCATGATGTTGAATTGAGTTCTTTATTATAAATTTTCTCTTTTTGAAAGGGGATAGACAGTGCTGCCTTGAAATATCTTAAATAAGAAATTAAAGTGCTAAGGTGATTGTCACTGGAGTAAGAATATCTCTCCTTATCCAATTTCTACAATAAGGTTTGATTTTAGATAAACTAGTTTTATTAGATTTTTTAAATCAGATTGTGCTTTAAAAACACACATGCATGCGTGCACATGCACGCATGCACATGGGCACGAAGAATGAAATTTTAATAATGCACAAGAAAATACATTTATTTTCAGTCAGTTCAGTCGCTCAGTCGTGTCCAACTCTTTGTGACCCCACGGACTGCAGCACGCCAGGCTTCCCAGTCCATCACCAACTCCCAGAGNCTTTATCCAGTGCAGCGTTTCTCATGATGTACTCTGTATAGAAGTTAAATAAACAGGTGACACTATGCAGATTGACGTACTCCTTTCCTGATTTGGAACCAGTCTGTTGTTCCATGTCCAGCTCTAACTTTCTTCTTGATCAGCATACAGGTTTCTCAGGAGGCAGGTCAGGTAGTCTGGTATTCCCATCCCATGTGGACAACTTAAGACTCAGATTAGTAACTCATCCTAGATCACAGAATCGGCAAATGTGTGTGTGTGGAGGGGGACAGGTGTTGGGTGAGAGGGGAGTGGTGTGGGGTTTGGCTAGAATTCAAATCTAGTCTTGAGGCTCCACAGTTTATAACTATAACTTGAGAACCGAAACATTCCACTGCTTTACCTAGTGCAATCCAGCAAGAGAGGGTTGCCTCTAACATTTTTGCCGAAACACTAGCAGGTTATTGCCAAATAGTCCTTGATGTGAATGGGTCAAAAAGTCTCAAATTGGCCTTGCTGTCCCATTTTCTCCCCTCCAGTTCTTCCCTAAGCCTATGTGTTCCCAAGCCCTCTGGTTATTAAAGCACTACTTGGAGCTGCCCTCTCACCATCAGAATCGTACCCAGGGAAATAAACATGCTGTTCATGCTGAACAGTGAGGCCAGTTTGAGACTTTTGATGCATTCACGTTAGGGACTATGTGGCAATAACCTGCTAGTGTTTCAGCAGAAACGTTAGAGGCAACCCTCTCTCGCTGGACTGTGCTGGGTAAAGCAGTGGAATGTTTCGGTTCCCATGTTATAGTTGCAAGCTGTGGAGCCTCAAGACTAGATTTGAATTCTAGCCAAACCCCACACACTCCCCTCCCACCCAACACCCGTCCCCCTCCACACACACACACATATTTGCCGATTCTGTGATCAAGGATGAGTTGCTAATCTGAGTCTTAAGTTGCCCACATGAAACATGGATCCAGTGATACTTTTTAACCCCCCAGTTTTGCCAAATGAATTAGGACATTTGTGTACACATCTCATTAAATGTAAAACCATATACATTGTCTCTCTTTTTCACTGCAGTTTTTAATAACATAACTGACATTATGTTAGTAACAAGCTGATTATATTAAACTTGAATCACTTAAAGATGCTTCTCCCAGAAGTTCAGCATACCCCAATACCCTTGAGTTTCATTTAATCTGATTTAACTGGGGAGAGGGGGATCCTTTGGGAAGCCGTATGGCTTGATGGTTTAGTACAGGGATTTTGGATTCGAATAGACCTGAGTTCAAATGCTTAACCAAATGTGTGACTTTGGGCAAATGAAGTCAATTCTCTAAACCTCAGTTTCCTCCATCTCTAAGATGATGTAATGATACCTACCTTGCAGTATTACTGGGAGAATTAAGTTCTATAAGAGATGTGAAGCACTTCATAATGGCCAGTTCATGGTAAATTCTCAGTATATAGTATGTGTATTGCCATATAATTTCCTTTCTGAAGAACAAACATCTCGACATGTTTATGTTATCATTAGGACAACTTGTGAAGAAATAGAAATGGGTTGTATTTAAGTATCACAGCTGCCAGTGATTAAAGCTTAACTACTAAATGGTTATTTAATGGAATGTTACTTGCTCATTTGTCCACATTTTTCTCTCAGAATTATATCTGACATCTGAATAGTTATTTTGGTAAATTCTCCTGAAGCATTTAAGCATGTAAGTNAGCTGCCAGTGATTAAATCTTAACTACTAAATGGTTATTTAATGGAATGTTACTTGCTCATTTGTCCACATTTTTCTCTCAGAATTATATCTGACATCTGAATAGTTATTTTGGTAAATTCTCCTGAAGCATTTAAGCATGTAAGTGTCGACCTCCAACTTTCACGAGAATTTATGTCCATAGTATACACTTTCCAGTGTATTTATGGACAGGTACTTTGCTGACAAAGGTCCATATAGTCAAAGCTATGATTTTTCCAGTGGTCATGTATGGATGTGAGAATTGGACCATAAAGAAAGCTGAGCAGCACCATAGAATTGATGCTTTCCAAATATGGTGTTGGAGAAGACTCTTGAGAGTCCCTTGGGCTGTAAGCAGACCAAACCAGTCAATCCTAAAGGAAATCAGTCCTGAATATTCATTGAAAGGACTAATGCTGAAGCTTCAATACTTTGGCCACCTGATGCTAAGAGCCAACTGATTGGAAAAGACCCTGATGCTGAGAAAGATTGAAGACTGGAGGAAAACGGGGACTACAGAGGATGAGATGGTTGGATGGCATCACCAACTCAATGGACATGAGTTTCAGTAAGCTCCCGGGGTTGATGGTGGACAGGGAAGCCTGGTGTGCTGCAGTCCATGGGGTCACAAAGAGTCAGACACAACTGAGTGACTGAACTGAACCTGAAATCTTTTAGTCTTACTTTCAGAGAAAAAGGTAGCTGGAATGGGAGGCATTCATTAACTGTAGATTGAAGTGACGGATGTTGAAGAAGACACATTTAAATTTTCAACTCATTGGAACATTTTGCATGGCTTCAATTTTTAAGGAACTGTGACTTAGATTTTAGCTTTCTGGAACTGAGGTAACAGATCAGAAATCACTGCTGCATATTTAAAATTGTATTTCCCAAAATATGGCAGTTTCAGTTTGGATCCATTATTTTCTGCAGGTAGTGCTGCTAGGTAAAATAAGGATTGGTGACTGTTTTCCTGCAAGCAAAACTAAAATGAGCAAGGAAGTAATTTCATGGGTTGCGCTTTGTAACATTAACAGACTTGTGCAACTGTAACCATAGAAGGTTAAGACTCTTCAGAAGTACAGATAAGTCTAGGGAATGTAAAGGCAGTAAAATGATTAGTTTTAGATAAAGAGTAAATGGAGCCTTAAAAGCTTATACTTTCCACTACTCTATTATACTCAGTACCTAGAACAGTTGCCAACATCTAGGAGTTGATCAACAATTTTTTGTTTCTGAGTGAAGAAGATCCAGAATGTTAATATTAAGTAAAATAGTGTTGGAGAGATGGTTTTAGGACTCAGACTAAATGTATGAATAGGTCGATAGTTGAGAGAGACTTGTAGTAGATAAATGCATAATAAACCATCAGGAAGTCAAAGTGATGCCTCACCTTCTGAATATTGACTTTTAGAGGAGACAGCTACTTGAATCTCAGAATCCCTTGTGTTGCCATTGTGAGAAGCAGCGCATAATAGAGTGAAGTCTGTTGTACTGACTTCCTGTTGCATTTCTGGTAGGTTAAGCATTTTAAGAAGAAACTGCAGGTCTTGTGCATATAAATACTAGTCCTGGAACATAAAAGGAGAAGAGGGGACAAAGAGTAAAAGTAAACCCATATACTTATGTCGGAAGCCAGAAGGTTTCTTTGGAGGAAAAAAATTACATAACCAAAGGTTTAGAATCCTGATTCATCTTTCTCTATTATGGGTATGTTTGTGAGAAGTCCTCTGTTTTGATGGCTAACAAACACATGAAAAGATGCTCAACATCACTCATTATCAGAGAAATGCAAATCAAAACCACAATGAGGTACCATTACACGCCAGTCAGGATGGCTGCTATCCAAAAGTCTACAAGCAATAAATGCTGGAGAGGGTGTGGAGAAAAGGGAACCCTCTTACACTGTTGGTGGGAATGCAAATTAGTACAGCCACTATGGAAAACAGTGTGGAGATTTCTTAAAAAGCTGGAAATAGAACTGCCATATGACCCAGCAATCCCACTTCTGGGCATACACACCAAGGAAACCAGATCTGAAAGAGACACGTGCACCCCAATGTTCATCGCAGCACTGTTTATAATAGCCAGGACATGGAAGCAACCCAGATGCCCATCAGCAGACGAATGGATGAGGAAGCTGTGGTACATATACACCATGGAATATTACTCAGCCATTAAAAAGAATTCATTTGAATCAGTTCTAATGAGATGGATGAAACTGGAGCCCATTATACAGAGCGAAGTAAGCCAGAAAGATAAAGACCATTACAGTATACTAACACATATATATGGAATTTAGAAAGATGGTAACGATAACCCTATATGCAAAACAGAAAAAGAGACTCAGATGTATAGAACAGACTTGTGGACTCTGGGAGAAGGCGAGGGTGGGATGTTTCAAGAGAACAGCATCGAAACATGTATATTATCTAGGGTGAAACAGATCACCAGCCCAGGTTGGGTGCATGAGACAAGTGCTCGGGCCTGGTGCACTGGGAAGACCCAGAGGGATCGGGTGGAGAGGGAGGTGGGAGGGGGGATCGGGATGGGGAACACATGTAAATCCATGGCTGATTCATGTCAGTATATGGCAGAAACCACTACAATATTGTAAAGTAATTAGCCTCCAACTAATAAAAATAAATGGAAAAAATAAATAAATAAAAGTAACCTTTCAGAAGATGAAAAAAAAAAAAAGAAGTCCTCTGTTTCATTTAAGGATCAGAAATTCTTCTTTTAAATTTGAGAGTAATTTGTTGATGTTAATTTAATTTGTTACAGTTCATAAAGAATGTCATCACAAGTTAACCTGCGGTGTTGGGGCCCATGTTTCCTTATATGAGTCAAAAGAAAAACTGAAAAATTTTTCCTAGTTTACAGTTACCTGAATGTAACTTCACTTTTGCTCTACCCTTAACTATATGACTTATGTTGCAGAAATTGGAATGGGATTAACAGGATTTGGAGTGTTCTTCCTATTCTTTGGAATGATCCTCTTTTTTGACAAAGCACTACTGGCTATTGGAAATGTGAGTGTTTCAACATATATTTTAGCTACATGCATAATGAAATTTTAACTTAATACAAATGAATTATTGCCAGGTGAAACTGGGGGAAGATAATTCACTGTTACTCATATGAAGATTCCTGTTACATTTTCTGTTTCCATCAGGGATGAAACTTGCAAGCTTTCTGTTTAAATAAAAGGTAAACACTTAATAAGGTTTTCTAATCCCATAACTGCTTGGTTGAATGTTTTGATATGTGATTTACAATAGAGTAAAATCAAGACTACCTCTGAGTAGTTCAAAGTAAATGACTTCACCCCATATCTTGGTAAATTTGTTAATGTTGTTTTGACTTGAAACATCTGAGATTTAACTATTGCTTCAATAGCATAAGATGAAGAGTTCTTAAAAACCACTTCAACCTTTAAAATATATACCTCTATTAATAACTGACCTGCTGAGAAATGTGTATATATTTTTATTTGGCATGTGTACTCTCTTGTCTATGGTGAAGGCTGTGCAAGAGCCCTAGAAATTAGTAACCCTCCTAAAAACAGTGTTAGTCGCTCAGTCATGTCTGACTCTTAATGCCCCCATGGACTGTAGCCAGGGTCCTCTGTCCATGGAATTCTCCAGGCAAGAATTCTGGAGTTGGTTGCCATGCCCTCCTCCAAGGTATCTTCCCTACCTAGGGATTTACCGTCTGAGCCCCCAGGGAAGCCCAGTAACCCTCCTAAGAGGGCAATAAAGTCATTGAGTAAGGATGGCATAGTTTTGAAGTGTATATTAATGTTTTAATACCATCAACAGCGTTGGCATCTCAGGATGTGAAACGTAAACATTAGGCTTAATAAATATTTGTGTGAAATATTTTTCTCTCAAGTACAGTAATGAAGAAAGACAAGTGTTTAGGAATAAAACCTGGGAAAACACAAGCTTTTAGTTGACCACCCTCTCTTGTCCATTGTCTGAAAACATACAGAATATATTTGAGAAGGCACAGCTGTATTTCATATCAGCTGCTCCCAGACTTCTGGAATTAATAAAACTAGGATCTTCCTCCTGGATTTGTGTGATTTCTTCTGCTACCAAATGGGCCATGTCAGGTTTTCTCCCATCTGAAGGAACTCCTATCAGTCCTGATAAAAGTTTTCAGAACCGGGAGTCCCTTCAGTTGACATTTTTATGTGCAACTACTGTCTTTTGCCTTGCGGCTCATCTTGCTAATTGACTAAACTGTTACCATCTAGCTAAACCTGGGGAAACCACTGCAGGTGCAGACACCCATGGGTAACGCCTCATTTGTCTTTGCTTCTCTTTTCTTCATCTGATCACAGTAGAAGAGGGCTGAACAGAGTGAGATGTAACTACCACTTTAACGTGGTCCTGCCTCTTGTGTGCGTTGTGGCCTTCTCTGGCCAGCTGCCCACATTAAAAGCCACATGTTCTAAACATTTATCATATTTGGCTTTGACCTTCCTTTTCGATGCATTTAACTGCTTAACTATGTTGCATTTTCCTTCTCTTGCAGGTTTTATTTGTGGCTGGCTTGGCTTTTGTAATTGGTTTAGAAAGAACATTCAGATTCTTCTTCCAAAAACATAAAATGAAAGCTACGGGATTTTTCCTGGGTGGTGTGTTTGTGGTCCTGATTGGTTGGCCTTTGATAGGCATGATCTTTGAAATTTATGGATTCTTTCTCTTGTTCAGGTAAGGCAACTATTTTATTCCTTCAGTAAACCATTATGTCAGATAATTATTACAGAAACCCAGATGTGTTTATCAAGTGCAGATGATTGCTTGTGTCAGGGTATAAATTAACTTGTAAAGCATTTTTAATGCTATAAATTTACTTTGGTGGCATCTTAAGGCACTCTGTCTCTGTTTGCTATTTTCATCAACCAACCAGTGATAGATCAATCTGGTGTTTTAACATGTAGAACCTGATACTGCACAGTTACTGCCACTTGATGATGCTTTTTTCAGTGCGTGCAGATGTTAAAAAATTTTGGACTAAATACATTATGGGAGGGTTTGATCATTTAATATTTTATGAATGCCACTTACCAAGTAAATAATAGTATGCAATGTGAGAAAACACTTTTAAGTAAGGTTGGTTAAATTATTTATTCAAGAAAGGTATATCGTTTGTCTTCTATCTGCCAAGCACCGTATTGCCCACAGGAAACATAAAAACTAAGTGCCAAATCTGCTTTAAGGATCTCTTATTTCTGATTCATGAAATAGACTGTAAAGGTACTGGTAGGATATAGTAGTAATGCGGTTATAGATGTTTATGCAGAATGTTACAGAGCACAACTAAAGAAGGGATCACATCCAGGGAGAGGGAAGAAATGGTAACTGAATTTTGAAGTTGCTTAAAAGTTCAAAATTTTAACAAACTCCTTTCTTTTTACGTGGCTAACAGTCGATTTTGGTGATAGAGAATCTGTTCGTTCTAAGACCTTTTTCTCCCTCTCCCAGGGGCTTCTTTCCTGTGGTTGTTGGCTTTATTAGAAGAGTGCCAGTCCTTGGATCACTCTTGAACTTACCTGGAATTAGATCGGTAAGTAATCCTATATTTAGCAGCATATTTGTTTGAACCATTAAAATAAGTGCTCTCTGGGAGAAAGAATGGTTTGGGAGTTTGGGTTTAGCAGATGCAAACTATTATATTTAGAATGGATAAACAGCAAGATTCTGCTGTGTAGCACAGAGAACTGTATGCAGCATCCTGTGATAAATCATAACAAAAGAATATAAAAAAGAATATATGTATATATATGTATGACTGAATCACTTTGCTTTACAGCAGAAATTAACACAATGTTGTAAATCAACTACAATTTTTAAATTGTTTAAAAATTTTAAAGATAAATAATTGTTCTCTGATGCTCTTTTTAGAAATTTGAGGAATTGATAACATGATTGATACGTTTTATTATGATATAACTGTTGAATCACATACATTGTGGTTACAATGAGTAACAGAAAATAATCATTGCTAAACCTATAAAACCTGAAATTTGGTTTCACTGTATTCACATTTAATGTTGTTTTCCTTTTTTCATGTGACTTGGATTGCTATGCTACCTTTCTCTTTGAGAGTTCAAGGTACCTTTCAATTAACTTTTATAAGATCTCTCATTTTAGAAGCAATAATATAAAAGAACACCATTATTTCTTACAAACATGTTCTCTCTTAGACTGTATCACCAAATGGAGTATGTTGAAACAATTAAATAAAGCGTTGTGATACTGAGTCAGATGATAAAATTCTGTTCCCAGCTCTGTCCACAGTTAGAACAGTCTTGTCAAATCTGTATCTCTAGGGCAGGCCATCAACTTCTTACTGGTGTTTGCAGATTTGCATAGATGCTTCTAGAGATACTCCGTAGCATGTATTGAATTCTCAAAGAGCTAAAGGATGGCTTTCCCACTAAGGAATAGGTACCACTGTAAGCCTGATCTCATTTCAATTTTAGAGTCAGAATCTTACAGCTCAGATAACCTGGATATTTGAAGTTACCTTTGGAGAGAAAATGTTGCTTTCTCTCCACCTAAATTTGTCATAAAATTCTAATGAATCCATGAGTTCAGTCACTTATTTGCAATAATATAAAATTTTGGGACCTAGGCTTATAGGGGTATATCCTGATTTCATTTGCATTAATCCCCAAACTCATACAGTAGTCAGTGTTGTTTATACTTAGAATGTCTTTTGAATGTACTAAAACTTCTAGCTATATAGAGTTGTACTTATTAATCATGTCCTTAATTTAAGGATTCTTCAGTATTGCATAAATGGACATTCAGTGCTATAAATTTTTTCTACTATTGCTTCATTAAAATAAATAAGCATTTCTTAATATTATTATTTTATTATTATTAAGTAAAAGTATGAATAGTGAAATAAAAGAAAGGGTTAAATGATTGCTACATTTTGATAGTATTATAGCCACTTGGGTTATGTAACTTAATATCTTCACTAATTACTTTGTTTCAACATCTGTTTGCATCACCATCTGGAATACTGAAGAAAGCCCAATTGCTTTATATTTGGGGTGGAGGAATCAAAGTAAATAAGCACTTACGTTAATGTGTGTTAAAACTTATGTTCTGTAATTATCGATTTATGCTTGCATCATTAAGTCTCTTTTTAATGTCATTGCCACTTACAGTCTGAAGTCCAGAATACACATTTAAAGTATTTTTAGTCAATAGCTGTTGTTAATTATTGAACTTAATGGAGCTAAATCTGTTTGTTCAAAGACTACATAGGCCCAGAAGAGATCCACAATAATGGTCAGTTGAAATAATATTATTGGGTTCATTAATGCATGAATGGCTGACATTTCAGCTTTTTTTTTTTTTTAATTTTTCTTTTGTTAAGCTAGAAGCGTTAGCTTCATTTTATCCAGTTTTTTTAATTCATTGTGTCGCATTTCTCGTGTTGCACTTTTAAAGTCATATGTATAACATGTCATGCAAAAACTCGTAGAAAAAATTTTTTTATACATGTATGTGTCAGAAGATGGTGGTGAGTAGCACTGGATGAATCATTGTCGGTCACACCTTAAATTTCCACAGATCTTACAAAACTGGGCTTTTTTAATCAACATTTAAAGTGTATGTGACATTTTTAAGTGCTTTAGGCTTTCTTTTAACTATCTGTTTTTCTTCTTGCAGTTTGTAGATAAAGTCGGAGAAAGCAACAATATGGTATAACAGCCATTGAATTGAAGACTCATTTAAAATATTGTATTATTTATAAAATCCTTTGAAGAATATTCAGCACAAAATTAAATTACCTGAAATAGCTTGTAATGTTCTTTACAGAAGTTTAAAATGTATAGCCTACAAAGTACCAACAGCAGTTAACAAAGAAGCAATGAAAACAGGCTTCTAACCAAGTCATCTAAGAGGTCAGCAAGCAAACCGAAGGAGGTGAAATCTATGTTACATGTGTATTGAAACTTTTGAAGGCCATTTTTATTATTTTTCCACAATGTGCGAAACACAGCCATCCTTAGAGAACTGTAATCCCTATTTCTTTCCTTTTTATGTTGAAGATGCAAGCATACCCGTAGGCATTTGCTTTTTAGAAGTGTCCACTGCAATGGCAAAACTATTTTCAGTTGCCCTCTGTCTCTGAAAATGATGCATGAGTTAGATTGGATTATGTCATTTTAATCTATTAAAACCAGGNCCTTTTTTTTTTTTTTTTTTGGTAAGCATATGATTAAAATAAAACTTTCTTTTTTTTTTTAATAAAACTTTCATGGTTCTTCTGAATCTGAATATTTTAAAACCAGATGAAAATCCAACCTAGATATTCTTTGTTGGAATGTTGCAAAGGTCATTCTTTACTAGCTTACAGTTTCTAAGTTACAGCTCACTCAGCACTTTTTCCTTCAGCAACACACTCTGGAAATCCTGATATTTCTTGGGACTCTCATCTGAGCATGTGTATCTTTCATCACGCATGAGCATTTAACAGAAAGCCATCTCGGCCATGAAAGAGTCTGTTACAAAGCTTGTTTCATTGAATGGTGTGTTCTTCAAGATACCAAGCGAGATTTTTCCATGTCATGATCCAGTGTTTCCTTTTATTTTTTTTTTTTAATTTTAGCAGTGGTTTATTATTTTGCTTTTCATACATTAAAATAACTACTGGTAATTTTTACTTTAAGATGTAACACGTTATAAGGTTAAACTTACAGTTGTTTTTTTAAGGGCTGTTCACAGAAGCCAATTTTTCCCTTATTTTCAGCTTTTTTCACTATGCATAATGTGTGTTTCATACACTCGCTCTTCATCTTGAGTTCGTGGAGAGAATATCTGAGTTCACACGCTAGAGTTATTTTACCGTAATTAAACTGGCTATAGTTCTGCAAAATGTGACACTACAAAAATGATGTGTTGTTTTCTCCACTGTTGCTGCTCGACAGGCAGTAAGTAGGAAGCTGCGGTGGTTTCCTCAGTAGTAGTTTTCCAAGGAGACACCCTTTTGTAGATGTAGGAAGCCATTTCAAGAGTCATAGTACTATTTGTTTTACTACTAATGATTGTGGTATTTACTCATTTTTTTAACAGTTGCAAAGCTTTTTAATACATAAAATCATAATTGAAATTTGTGATTTTTATTTACAAACGTGTCTACAAGATACATTATTGCCTATGTTATTAGTAGTTAAATCTCTTGATGCACAGGGAAGTCCCATCCTTGCTCATCTAAAGAAAGAACGACTTGGTAGATAGTCTTAACGGTTCAGCCTTGTGGATTACTGTCTTTTCGGTACTGGCATTTGACTTATGACATAATCTGTGAACATAGATGATATTGACAAAATGAGACTCCTACCTCAATAGTTCATGGAATGATAAGAAACATTTTGTTGTCTAATGTTCTTCAAAAAAGTAGTATCCTCACTTGGAGAGTGTCAAATATCTACATACTTGGGGGACTGACTTATATAAGTTGCCCTGTGGGACTCTGTTATACATATTTTTGACTGACCCATATTATTTACAGTGTCTAGATAAATCTACCTTTTTTAGAGCAAGAACAGTATCTGTTAATGTAAGGAGCATCTATATTATTTAACTCCTTTGTAGACATGAATTTCTATCAAAATGTTCTTTGCACTGTAGCAGAGATCTCTTTTTCAACAATCTTGTTTCAGAAAACATTATTAGACAGAAGTGTATAAAGGATGTGATAATCTCCCAATAAGAATGAGAGGCTTGGAGCAGTTTTCAGTTTTATCAGATGTGAATTTGGGACTGCTTGGCAGCATTGTATGTTTCTTAGAACCATTGATGAGGCTCTATTTTTAAACATAACTTGTATTCTGACAGAAAACACTGTACATCATATTTTCTTCCTTTCCAAAATTAGTCTTCTGTCTGTGACAAAAAAAAGCATCAGTTATTGCTATAAAGGTGGAAGAAAAGGTCTAATACTACTTAGCCTTAAGTGTTTCTGGCATTGTTCAAATCTATTTTCTGTAACAGAAACCTATTTGGAATGTTTTTCTTTTCCCCTTATACATTGTAATTCCTGGAATACTGCTGCTTTTAAAAGTCTCACAGATTATATGATCTAACAATTGAATATTGTAAATACACTTGTCTTACTTCTCAATAAAAGGGTACTTTTCTATTAATTGGTGGTTGTCTCAACTTGGGCTGCTAAAACAAAATTCCACAGACCAATTCACACAATAAATGTTAGTTCTCATGATTCTGGATTCTGGGAAGTCCAAAATGAACATGCTGGCAGATTCAGTTCCTGGAGAGGGCCCTCTTTCTAGCTTGCAGACAGCTGCCTTCTTACTATGTCCTCACACGGCATAGAAAAAGAGAATGAGCTCTCATCTCTCTTCTAATAAAGACACTAATCCCTTCATGAGGAGTCCCATCTTGGTCACCTCATCTAAACCCAACTATCTCCCCAAAGCCCACCCCCAGTGCCATCATGTTGGTGGTTGAGTTTTCAACCTAAAAGTTTGAAGGGAACAAAAATTCAATCCATAACAATGGCCAGATGTATTTTTATTATGAATTATAAAAATCGAGCATTGCACAATAACCAAACTTGTGTTTTAAATTAGCCTCATATGCAGTTTTCTTTTTTATAGAAAGATAATCACATCTTTCATTTCCAAATTGTTCAGTTAGAAATAGGCTTCAGGTTAAAAGAAAAAAGTAACTTTAGAAATTGGTGGAGAAATGCTTAATTTTTTTTCTCAGCATGAAAGGAATATATAATATTTAAGTATTCATGACTTAAACTCACTTAATGTCAGCAGTGTTTTGATCATAAACTTTAGTAAGGCCAAAAACCACTGGACAAATTTATCAGTTAAGGTACACAATAAGTTTGTTGCATCTGATCATTAAACCACAAGTCTGGACTATTGTCTGTTGAACTGCAAGTCTTGAATCCATTATTAAATATCCAGTTCATCTTTCTAATAGTGAAGGACAGGGAAGCCTGGTGTGCTGGAGTCCAAGGGTCGCAAAGGGTCAGATGACTTAGGGGCTAAACAACATCTTTCTAACCTTTTCCTCAGCTAAAATGTTCCAGCCTCTGTGTTTCTACTTCTTGTATCTGTGTAGGAGGTTGGACATAGCATCTGCCCCAGATCCTTCAACTGACGCTTTTCCATGGCCTTACCTTTACCAACTAAGACCTTTTAACAGAAAAGGGCAGCTCTATTTGACTAGGCCAAAACAGCTGGCCCTTCCGTGTCCTCTCCTAGACCGTTCCACTTGTTTTGTATTTATATGGTTTTGGGAAAGAGATTCTTGAGCTTCAAAGCTTAAGTAAAGGATGGTAAAGACATTGGCCAACGAGTGGGGAGTTTTATTTTGGACAGTGGGCCTTCTCTGCCCTAAATCTGAAGCTGGTAGCTCTGTGGGGAGTCTTCTTCCACCTCTTTGTGAGACAACTGGCCTATGGAGTCGACTGGCCTTCACAGAGAATAAAGCCAAAACAAAGTAGGGATTAAACCCAGTGACCTCAACATCCAGTAGCAAAATCCTCTCTTCTGTCATCAGAGGTAATTTCAATCTTCGAGTATCTTAATAACCATATTGCCCAGGTAATCTTTCCCAAGATAGGTGCTGTTTGAAAAAGACAAACATTGTATGATACCAGTTATATGTGATTTCTAAAAAAAAAAAAAATGAGCCTGTCTGCAAAACAGCAGTCTCACACACAGAGAGAGCAGACTTAAAAAAAAAAAAAAAAAAATTGATACAAATGAACTCACAGAAGAAATAGACTCACAGACATTGAAAACAAACCTATAGTTACCAAAGTGGATGGACTGGGGAGAAGGTAGATAAATGAGGAATTTCAGGTGAACAAATGCACACTACTATATATGAAATAGATAAACAGCAAAGACCTCCTGTAGAGCATAGGGAACTATATTCAACATTTTGAAATAACTTTTTTTTTATGGTGATTTTTTTTTTCATTTATTTTTATTAGAGGCTAATTACCTCACAATATTGTAGTGGGTTTTGTCATACATTGACATGAATCAGCCTTGAAATAACCTATAATGGAAAAGAATCTGAGAAAGGTCATATATATATATATATATATAACTGCATATTAGTTTGCTGTGCAACTGAAGGGCTCTGGGGCTCAGACAGTGAAGAATCTGCCTGCAGTGAGGAGATGTAACAGACGCTAGTTCGATTCTTGGGTCAGGAAGACCCCGTGGAGAAGGGAATGGCTACCCACTCCAGTGTTCTTGCCTGGAGAATTTCCTGACACTAATATAACCTGCACCTGAAACTCATATAACATTGTAAATAAGCTATACTTCAATTTTTTAAATGTGTAAATAAAATGTAAACAATTATTTTCTCAAGATAGGTGCGGTTGTGTGTGTGAACACAGTAATCATGGATCTTGTAAGAATGCAGTTTAAACTTTGGGCCCGGGCACCCTGAAGTCTACTGGAAGAATTCAGATAACATCAGTGATGTGGGCAAAATTATCTCCATTAAATATGCCTTTTAAAAAAGTTTCAGAGAGAAAAACAAGTATCATGTATTTATGTATATGGAATCTAGGAAAAAAAAATGGTATAGATGAACATATTTACAGAGCAGGAAGAAAGACCAGACATGAAAGACAAACATTGTATGATATCAGTTATATGTTTTTTTATATACATATCATATATACCATATATATATATATATCATATATCAGTTATATGGTCTTTAAGAAAGACCAGACCAGAAAGAAGGAACATGTGGACAGAGGGATATGGAGGAAGGGGAGGGTGAGATAAATTGGGAGATTGGGCTTGACATATATAAACTACCGTGGGTAAAAAATAGATAGCTGGTGGGAACCTGTTGGACGCCGTAGGAAGCTCAGTGCCCTGTGATGACAGGGATGGAATGCCGAGGGGTGGGTGAGTGTGTGTGAGAGGGAGGTTCGAGAGGAAGGGGCTATGTGAATGCATACAGTTGATTCTCATTGTAGAGCAAAAACTAACACAATATTATAAAGGAATTACACTCCAATTGTTTTTTTGGTTTTTTTTAATGAGGGAAAAATAGGTTTCGGATCCAGTTTGTCCAATAGCCACTGCCAGGTCATCATGTCAGCAGAATAAAAGGTAATGTTTTTGTATGTCAACTGTTTTTTAATCAAATAAGTAACTTCTTTTTTAGCCCATTTCTAGGTTTAGACCTGTAAAAATCTTTAACTTTTGTGATTTAACAAAAACATTTGATTGGGAGTCAATGCCTTTTTGGAATAAATTTACCTTCTGCCATGTTACTTTTGATAAGACTACAATATTGATAACATGTCAAAGCCACTCTCCTCACTTGTGCATATTATGCTGAAAATGGCAGCTTTGACGTAAAACATCTGGTTATGAATTCATTAGTGAACCTGTTGCAGACAAAGCACATTAATTTATTTTTTCCTTAAAATTGTAATTTCAAAACACAGTTTGACTGGCAATTTATTTTCCTGTCCTTCTTTCTAAAACCTTTGTGTGTGTTTGGTATGGAAAGGGGATAAAAGACATTTTAGTTGTCTCTTGCCTGAATGATCAGTCACTTCGACTCCTTGCGACCCTATGGACTGTAGCCTGCCCAGCTCCTTCTGTCCGTGCGATTCTCCAGGCAAGAATACTGTAGTGGGAGTGGGTTGCTGAGCTCTCCTCCAGGGGATCTTCCCAACCCAGGGGTCAAATCCGCATCTCCTGCGACTGCTGCATTTCAGGCGGATTCTTTACCTGTTAAACCAGCAGGGAAGCCCAGTTGCTTGTTAAGATAACCTAATAACTGGGTTTCAGTTATGAGTTCTTTTAAAATATAAATATAGTCTTCTTTTNCCGAAGAATTGATGCTTTTGAACTGTAGTGTTGGAGAAGACTCTTGACAGTCACTTGGACTGCAAGGAGATCAAACCAGTCAATCCTAAAGGAAATCAGTCCTGAATATTCATTAGAAGGACTGATGCTGAAGCTGAAACTCCAATACTTTGGCCACCTGATGCAAAGAACGGACTTATTGGAAAAGACCCTGATGCTGGTAAAGACTGAAGGTGGGAGGAGAAGGGGACGACAGAAGATGAGATGGTTAGATGGCATCACTGACTCGATGGACATGTGTTTGAACAAGCTCTGGGAATTGGCGATCAACAGGGAAGCCTGGCATGCTGCAGTCCATGGGGTTGCAAAGAGTCAGACACAACTGAGTGACTGAACTAAACTGAACTTAATTGGGTCATAGCCCTCTTGCTTTCTCCAAATTCCTTTTTGCAGTTCTCTTCCATATCATCAATTTTTCCTTCTCTGCCAATCATCTCCATCAGCATACAGGTTCTGCAAATGTTCATCAAAAGGAAGCAACAAACCTGGTTGATTTAAGCAAAAGTGGACTTTATTAAAAGGACACTGCAGGTGAATCACTATCTCCTCGGCACTGCATGCAGGAGTCTGTCACTGGCATTGTAGCCAGTATTGCCCACACAAACTTGAGCATCCTACAACCACTGCTGCACCAGAAAGTGCTTCTCCCACTCCCCACTTATCCCCTCCCAGCTCCAGTCTCCATCCAAGCGGGTATATCTGATTGGTGAAGCCTGCATCATGACCACACTCTACCTGATAGGGAGACTGGGAAGGAGTATCTAACATGTTCAGCGTCTACAATAGAGGGAGGACACTGCCTCCCACCAAAAGTCATAATTTATAGTTTAGGGAATTTCAGAAATGTCCTTCAATTAAAAGGATTCAGATGTTATTGAAAGGTTAAAGAAATAATAATAATCCCATTTCTACCACACTCATTTATCTTTTTTCAAAGTTTATTTTTTCCTTTCCCTCTTTTGGTGGAATTAAAAAAGGTTGTCCACACTTGTCTTTATTTCCTCATATCCTATTCTACCCAATCTAGCATTGTTCCTCAAAAGCCATCACATTCCCAAATCCAGCAGACACTTCTCAGCTCACGCAGTTTAACCTTGCAATGTTATTGGATAGTCTCCCAGCTCCCATGAATTTACAGTCTCTTGGAATTTCACTTTTTTCCAAATGTTTCAGCTCAGCTTCCTTTGCTGAGTTTCCCTCTGCTCAATCTCTGTATGTTTGTTTTCAGAGCTCTATCCCTTCCTCTTTAACTCCATTCACTCCCTAAGTATTCTTTCAATTTCAATTTTTTCCTGGCTTAAAATTCTCAAATCTGATAATTCTTGCCTTTAGAAAAAAATCTACAGACCTGTTTACTGAGCTTTAGAGTTTTGCATCTGCAACTGCTTACTTTGTACTTCTCCATGTATGTCTAATACATATTTTAATTTTAATATGTCCAAAGAGAACTCTTAATTTCCCTCTCTAAATTGGTTCCTTATGAAGTCCCTCCAATTTCAATAAAAGGCTTCATCATTCAGCTGGTGTTTAAGCCAAAAATCTCAGAATCATCCTTGATTTATTTTTCTTAAACTCTCATATCCCATTTATCCACAAGTCCATATTTTCTACCACCCAAATTCATTACAGCTCTCCATTCCCTACAAGCACTCCCCTAGTCTAAGCCGTCATCATTTTTTGCTTATTCCCAAATTGCCATTTGAACTGGCCCATTTCTTCCTCTCCATCCTCAATTCATAGCCCCATCTCAAGACCCCCCACACAACTTTGCTCCATTGATCACCTTCGTGTTCTTCAAACAAGTCAAGCTCTTTGCCATCCCAAGATTTTGCATTTTTCTTCTGCCTAGAATGTCAGCAATACTAAATCCACGCCAGCTTATCCCATTCTGACTCCACATTACCCTTCCAGATCCCTCTTGATTTTTACCTTCCCTAAACTAGCCCACCACTTACCTTATCACCTCATTACCTTATCTTGCTTACTTTTCCTTTATAAAGCATTTTAAAATTCTGAAATTACCTTATTTACTAGTTTGAAGTGTTTCTGCCCTGACTAGAAGCAGTATCAAAGCAGAAACTTGTCTTTTTGATTCATGTTTGTGTCCCGTGGGATGTCTGATACACAGTAGGCATTCCATAAATATTTTGTTAAATAACTGAATTGATAATTAAGTGAATGACTGATGTCATATTCCATTGAGATTCCCTAACCTTTTCATTCCTATCCAAATGACTCATCTTTACTCACTGGTGATAGCTTGATAGCTAGTTATCTAAGACAAGTTTTGTTCATTTACTTTTGATTCTGCCTGGAGTTATTAAACATTCTCCTTAATAATATAACAATAATGCCTTGAAAAGCTAGTAAGAAAACCAAAGGTTATGATGCTGATATAACTCAGACTATCTCCTGGCTGATGTGGGCAGTAAATGATGTTCACCCATCAATCATTTTTCCACTCCCTGCAACTGAATCTCCCTGGAGGAGTCATCAGATGCTCTCAATCTTGAAGATTGACAGGAAGTCCCTGCAGACACCAACTCTATGCAACATCAGGAGGGATCCTTGACACTAAGATTTAAAAGCCCCACTCTCAGAAAGATTTAGAAAACTCACAGGCTAAGTTCTAGTTATCACAGCTTCTGGAAAGGTGCAGAACATGAAGGTAAGGAAAAGTTTTATTTGAGACTTTTTAGCTATTTTATAAAAGCTGTATAGTGTTTTTTTTTTCTAAATTCTTTCATATTTAATGTGTTTCAGAGTCAAACCTTGTGCCCTTAAAATATCAGATTCATTTGATTTTACAAAGAAAAAAATTCACTTATTCTCTTAAATCCTCGTTTGGGTTAAATAATTAAAATAAAATATTTCTAAATAATTTTTAAAAAAGATCTCTTTGTGAATTAACTAGATGATAAACTAGGGAACTCCCTTCTTTCCTACATTCTGAGTGCTCAAACAAAACATAGCAAAAAAAAAAAAAGGCGGAGGGTGTAATTGTCCAGGAGCCAAAGAAAAAAGTAGAAGATTCTATAGGCACAGAAATGACTTTGATCGTTTCATGCAGGGATTCAAAAGTCTGGTGGTAATGACCTTGACCTTCTTCCTGGTGTTTTCTTTCATGGGAAATTGCAACAGTGCTCCGCAGGTAATCACAAGGAAAAACTGGGGCTCCTCTGTGCGCTGGGTACGTCCTTCCTTCCTTCTTCCCTCCCCTCTATTTCTTCCCTTCTTTTCCTTCTTTCTTCTCCTTCTTTCCCTTCCCTTCCCTTTCTTTCGTTCCCTCCCCTCCCTTCTCGCTGATTTCTAATGATGGGCTGGGCAGCAACGCTTCCCTAACTGCTTTCCTCTTCTTGGGTTGTAGAGACTCTTCGAGAGAAGGAACTGGACTCCTCAAGCTATGCTCTACCTGAAGGGTGCACGTATGTTCCAAACACTTTGCTCTTCCGACAGTGGTAAACGGGGAGCCTTAGGGGCGCATGAATCCGCGGGACAGAAGGGGGCCTGCGGGGAGAGAATCCTATCGAGTTCGTTCCCATAAATAATTGAGATCATCCTGGTCTCAGTTAATCAAGGAGAAAGGTCGAGGGTGGGGAGTGGGGTGGGGAGGATGATCAGAAATCCTCCAACCCAAACCGGAAGGTAGTTGGCTCTTGCTCAAAGGAAGATTGGGGTTTCCCAGGCACACCGCCCCGGCTGGTGAGCGAGCCGCCGCCCCCTCCGACGCGCTGGGGGAGGCGCGCGGCTTTCCCGGTGGTCTCCTCCCCGATCCGCGCCTGGGGCCCGGAGCCCCGCACCCCCGCACGCCCCGGGTGGGAGCACCCGGCCTCGCCGCCCCGGCTCGCCCGCTCCTGGTGGGGCAACTCCGATCGGCCGGGCCGTGCGGGCGCTGAGCCCTTGTCTCGCCTTGGCAGAGGGGCGCCGCTTCCTTTCCGACCAGAGCCGGAGGAAGGACCTCTCCGACCGGCCGCCGCTCGGTGAGTGCGCGGGAACCAGGAGGCCGCGGGCGCCAGGAGACCGCGCGGGTCGGGAGGGCGCACCCCGCCCCCGGGAAGGCGGGCTCCGCGGCCGCCCGAAGGAGAGCCGGCCCCGCCCGGGCCCGCTGACCTCAAGGATAGAGATCCGGTGGCGGGAGCCGGGGTTCCGCTCCAGACAGCGGGGGACGGGGGGAGTGGCGGGGCGCGGGGGGGGGCGGAGAGGCCAGGATGAGTGTGAGAGCTGTGCGTCTGCCCCTAGAAACGCGCCTCCCGTTTAACGCAGGGTCTTTACAAGATTTTCTTTAAACGCTGTTGTTACCAATGTTATCATCATTGTCATTATTAAAATAGTGATTTGCCTAAAAACTTCAAACGCCTCTATTTTATTACTGAAAAGAACTATTAAAAGGTTCAAAGCCAGAAATAATGAAGAAGTGGGGGGCCTTTAAGGATGGAGCCAGAGACTCTTTCACGTAAACTTTCCACGCCGTTGGATTAAAAAATAGCAATATCATTCATTTTGATAAACATTCAAGATTGCTGAAAATTACCAAGTCTACTCGTTTTGAAAAATACCAAACACCGTTTTGAGCACATAGTAGGTGCTTAACAAATTTTGGTTTACCTTCTTCAAGCCGGCACCTTATTTACTGTAGGAGGTTAAGGTTTGTTTTCCCACTTCATTAGATAACCAAAATTCATGGTTTGTGTTGAATCAGGACGGTTTGTCTTCCACCAACTTGTTTGAAATAGTTTTGAATATTCTTCAGATTCTCTTTCAGTCAAATAATTGCCTTATATGTGGCCAAGAAGGTAGATTATTTTCTCAAACTGCTTTGGAAGGAATAGGAAAGAACTAGACTCCAGGCAGTGTGTATGTGTGTGTGTGTGTGTGTGTGTGTGTGTGTGTGTGTGTGTGTGTGTTAGTCGTTCAGTCGTGTTTGACTCTTGCAATCCCACCAGGCTCCTCTGTCCATGGAATTCTCCAGGCAAAAATACTGGAGTGAGTTGCCATTTCCTTCTCCTGGGGATCTTCCTGACCCAGGGATCAGACTCCAGGCAGAGTCCCGTCTAAACTTTTCCACTTAAGCATCCCATTTTAACCTCTGAGGGGGAAAATTCCTCCTGGGCTCTTTATCTTAATCCTCCTTGCTTTAGTGAAATTTGCTGTAGTATATATAGTTTAAATTCTCTTCCATACCCTGTCGTACACAATATAACCAATTGTAAGTAATGTCCAAGGAAAGTGTGAAATGTTTCAGCTTATAAAAATCAGTCTGTGCAAGGGGCTCTTTGCTGAGCAATCAAAAAGCTATTTCACAGAGATTTTTCTAGTATTATAGCATAGTAGAATAAGACTTCCCTATATGAATATTTAGGATTCCCTGGTGACAGATGGTCGGGAAGATCCCCTGGAGAAGGGAATGGCAACCCACTCCAATATTCTTGCCTGGGGAATCCCATGGACAGAGAAGCCTAGTGGGCTCCATGAGGTTGTGGAGTTGGACACGACTGAGCAACTAACAGTTACTTATTTATATGAATGTTTAAATGCTAATAGAACCTGTATGTGTTTTTTCATTTCTCCAGAAAGACGAAGCCCAAATTCCCAACGACTAACTCTTCCAGAGGCAGCAGCTGTACTATTGGCTTTTTTGCAGAAACCACAAGAAGGTACAAGCATTAGTAAACTCTTTCAACTGCAGGACAGAGAAGCTTTGAGTGCTTTGGAGAGTCTGTGTTGGATGCAGCAAAGTTGCTTTTATTTATTTAGATTTTAAAAAGTAATTAACGGTTACTAATGAAACGGTTGCCCAGGCCATCAGAAATTAACAGAAATGTTTGTTATTTACAGACTACCATATTTCTCATTATAGTGAGTCCCAAGAATGTAAAAACATTTCCTTGATGAGATGGTGGGATTTCATGTTAATTCCATAATCCATAGCCTTTTGGAGCTTTTTTTTCTCTTAGAATCCTAGAGACTCCAACTTCATTATTTTATATTTGAAAAAACTGAGGCCAAGTAATCACAAATCCAGTTACTTGCTATTAAAATTTGAAGCAAATGAAATAGCTGAAAATCATTCATTTTTAACTTACAAACAGGGCAGTTTTTTATGGTTCACCCTAAGAGATATGGGCTTGTTTTGATGCTAAATGCTAAACCTGTGTGATTTGTGTTTCACTATTCTACTTCTTGGATTTTCCCACTGGCTCAGTGGGTAAAGATTCTTCTGCAGTGCAGGAGACACAGGGAGACTCAGGTTCGATCCCTGGGTTGGGAAGATCCCCTGTAAGAGGAAAATGGCAGCCCACTCCAGTATTCTTTCCTGAAAACTCCCATGGACAGAGGAACCTGGTGGTCTACGGTCCACGGGGTCGCAGAGAGTCGGACATGACTGAGCAACTGAACATGCACACATACAGTTTCTTGCGTGCCAGGATTAGGTGTGATCTTCAAATAGAGACTCTCTGTCCATGTGGCATTAAAACCACTATTTGCATTAAGGCATCTTGTAACACATTAGCCTGGACTTTGGAATATAACAGGACTTGGTTCAAATCCTGGCCTAATGTTTTCCTATCTGGGTGGCCTTAGTGTCATTATTGGTAAAATGGAATAATGACATCCATGGGCAGGGTTGCTCTAAGAGCCAAATGAAACAAAGTATGTAATTTTTTATTAGTATTAACAATAGAGGTCATCAAAGCGTAATAAATAGACCTAGACATTTTGCTCTCAAAAACTCTAATGATGCCATATTTATATGATTTACATGATAAAATGTATAAAAAAATACAGTGAGTAGTGTGTGTTCAGTCGTGCCTGACTCTTTGAGACCCCGTGGACTGTAGCCAACCAGACTCTTCTGTCCATGGGATTTCCCAGGCAAGAATGCTAGAGTGGGTTGCCGTTTCTTCCTCGCAGGGATCTTCCTGACTGAGGGATCAAACCGGCATCTCCTGAATTGGCAGGTGGATTCTTTACCACTGAGCCACCTGGAAAGCTGTCTGGTGGTCAGAGCACAAACTGCTGGCCTGCTGCTCTGACACTTGTGCTGATGAAGAAAACCCTGTGCTCACTGCCTGGTATTGGATGGGCGATGTCTGGGCAAGGAAGAGAGCAGGAGGTTCTTTCTGGCTTCAGACTTCCAGCTTTGTTGTGGAAAAACAAAACAAAAACAACCCTACAAGAAGTAAATGGAAGAGACGGGGATAAAGAGGTCTTTTGAACTCAGAGCAAGGTGGGGGTTGACTTGGTTGCATGGAGGAGATTATACTAGTTAATTCAGCAAATCTGCATTGATGTCTGCTAGGTGCTAGGCCCTGTGGCAGATAGAGAAAAAAAGCAGGTTAAGCAAAAGAGCACGGTTAAGACAGCATCTCCTGCATTGGCAGGCAGATTCTTTACCACTAGCACCACCTGGGAAGTACATTTATTAATAAGTCATTCATCCATAATAAGTGAATTATCTCCAAGGATTACCCACCTTTATCATCCATATGATATGGATGTAAATTTCCTCATTTACCTATGAGGAAATAGAAGCACAAAGACTGAATAGCTTGCCCACTCTCGGGAGGCAGGGACATACTTGAACTGAGCTGAGAAACAGGAGTAGCTGATTCTTCATCTGAGAATTAAAAACAGGAGTAGCTGAGTCTTCATCTGAGAATTAATCACGTGGTCTGTGGATTTTTAGCAGAGAGGGAACATGGTAAAGGAAGATGTAACTGGTTATGGCTCATAGGGTAACCATCAAAGCAGGAAAAATAGCTACAATATGAGAATATCTACTGTGTGTCAGATGTTAATGTCATCCTTGTAGCTCAGAAAACTGAACCTTCTGGAGTGTATATCCTTTCCTAAGGCCACGTGGTTAGTAAGAAGTGATATGGGGAGTTTAACTCAGGGCGGTGGGTATCTGTAACTCTTGCCGTCTCTCAAATGGATGGTGATAAGAGGACGGCTGGAGAGGGGAGTCAGTGAGAAACGAGGGCAGTCATTCGGGAGTGGAGTCATGAAGTCAGTGGGGATGGAGGCTCAATGCTGAGGCATGCCACAAGGAGAGCAGATAACACAGGGTAACTCTTTGCTAAAAGCATAAAACAGAATGGATAAGCGATCAGGTCCTACTGTATAGCACAGGGAACTGTATCAAATATAGCAGAATGCTTAGTAAGAGTACAGAAATCAAAGGAGGAGGAAGATTGTGTTGGGTAGGAAGGGTCGTTAAAGAGGAGTGGGGTGGGGGCGTGGGAGGGAGGCTCAAGAGAGGGGGGATATATGTATACTTGTAGCTGATTCACACTGTACACACCATTGTAAAGCAGTTATCCTCCAGTTTAAATTTTTTTCAATTAAATAATAATAAAATAAATCGCGGCTCACAAATCTTTCCCTCGCCCTGCCCAGTGGTATGATTTACTGCTGCTGTGCCCATTCTGAAAGCTTGTTTGGAGGGAATTTGGGAAAGGAAATTAGACTGCAGAGGTAAGAGAAAGTGGACGCTTGCTGGCATGGCCTTCAGAATTCTTGCAATGAAAAGGTGAGAAATAGTTGAGTCATGGGTAGAGGATGCTGCCTGCAGCATTTGGCATTCTTGCTGAGTTTTGAAGTCAGTAGGAGGACAGCAGAAGTTGCGATGAGTGGATCGTGAAGTCTGAGATTTCATTGCTGGGAAGATTTGCAGAGCCAGAAGGAAAGTGAGCTGGAAGGGAGAAAGGAGAGCTCGTTTTAAAGAGAAAGAGAAGGGAAACTTCCCTGACAGTCCAGTGTCTGAGACTTTGAGTTCCCAAGGCAGGGGGCCTCTGGTCAGGAACTAGGTCCCACATGCCACAACTCAGACCTAGCACAGCCAAATAAATAAGTATTTTTTAAAAAATAAAGAGGAGGAGAAAGATCTTCATTAGAAACTACAGAATGATTTGACTCTAGGTATCCATTTCAAATCTTTTGGAATAATAAATTCAAATTTTTAGGTCTTTAAGTTTCTGAAGTGGCTTGTCTCTGATGATGAAATTAGAAAACAAAATTTTATTAGTCTAAATTGATGGGAAATTTTGGATTCTTACATGATAGATTAATCAGTGTTCACCTTTATATTTTCATTCTAAAGTCCCTAGATATGATTTGGACTGACTCTTTGCAACCTCATGGGAATTCTTCAGGCTAGAATACTGGAGTGGATAGCCTTTCCCTTTTCCAGGGGATCTTGCCAACCCAGGGATCGAACCCAGGTCTCCTGCATTGCAGGCAGATTCTTTACCAGCTGAGCCAGAAGGGAAGCCCTTATTTTAAGTAGTGGATTATTATTTCAGTGGAGGATATACAGGGATGATTCCTTTCTTGGCTTTTTTTCCTTTCCTTTAAATACACACTGCCCTATATAAAACAGATCACTAATGAGGACCTACTGTGTGGCACAGAGAACTTTACTCAATACTCTGTAATGACCTATATGCGAAAAGAAGTGGATACATGTGTGTGTGTAACTGATTCACTTTGCTCTACAGAAGAAACTAACACTATAATAAATTTTTTTAATGTTTTAATTTAAAGAATAAATAGAGCATCTGATTTTCTTCAGTACTTTGAAGTTTGGTAGCAATTCAGGTTAAACTAACTCGGATATTCCAACTATAATGTAACTCACCAGGGGAAAGTGGTTTTCTCTAGAGATGACCTTAGACAAAATGAACAGTGAAATTTTGCCTCTGGTGACTTCCTCTCCCTTCCCCATTGTCAGTTTCAGCCCTTAGACCCAGTTTTAATTCTAGAAACCTAGTGTCCTCTCAGTCTGCTATTCCCACACAAGAGGTGATTCCTCCTGCTCTGAAGTTTTGCAATCCCATCCAGCTAAGAAGTATCCCTTCTTTTTGTCTTCCTTCTACTCCAGGCCTCTAGTTCAGCTAATAAGATAATATATGTTCCTTTGGCATCTTTCCTAACCAAAGTGTATTTTAACAGGAAATATAGAAACAGTGGGACTTCCCAGGTGGTGCTAGTGGTAAAGAATCTGCCAGCTAGTGCAGGAGATGTAAGAGACTCGGGTTTGATCCCTGGATCAGAAGATCCCCTGGAGGAAGTCATGGCAACCAACTCCAGTATTCTTGCCTGGAGAATCCCATGGACAGAGGAGCCTGGCAGGCTACAGTCCATAGGGTCGCACAGAGTCGGACATGAATAAAGCAAATTAGCATGCATGCACACATAGAAACAATACCTTGATGCGAGTGCGTGGTTCTATTAGTGGATATTTTAGACACGAGGCATATTTAGAGAAAGACGTGGCCTTTTTGGATTTCTATTAAACACACCATGTAAATTCATTCACTGTGGAGACCCACATGTTAGATATGAATTCTCTGATGGGTCCAAAGCTGAGGGAGGAAATTTTGTAACAAAATCAATCAGAATCCAATTAGGGGGCATTCCGTAGCAGAGGGCATGAGTCGACATAATGTAAGGGGGGAAATCAAATGTTTACTTCCTGAGGTTCTCTTCATCTTGTGTCTTCTTCTTATAAAAAACAGGATGTGTTTATGTTACATATTTTTTTTCCCTTACAGCTGGAGAAGAAAACTTGGATCAAACCAGATTCCTAGAAGACAGTCTGCTAAACTGGTGACAATATACCGGATTCCATTCAATTATCATTCTATTCTTGTTGAAAACATGAGCCATGTGAATAAAGTCTGCGGACCCTTTTTCCTTCATTTGTAATCTTAGGAACATGTGCAGCCAGTTTTATTCTTCCAGAAGCTAAAGTGATGCTGCATTCTTAGAACATCATTGCTTTCTTCCATGACTTCAGGTCCTGTTTAGATTACCTGGTATCTTACTCTTGAATTTAACCCATTTATAGTTATTAGGTTGAAGACTCTTTAAAGTGTTCCTTCTTTTTGTTACAATACCCATCTTGATTTAATCATTCTTAGTTTTTTTTTTTGTTTTTTTTTTTCATTTTATTACCCACTTGCATTATCTTAGCACTCAACAGTGAATCTCCTCTCCTTTCCCCCCTTTCCTCACCTCCAAGGAGAGAGAGGTGGGAAGCATGGGAGGATGGGAAAGAGTGAAATGTGATTGTCAGTATCCAGGAGAGGTGAGTTGTCAGGAAGGGAAGCAGGGGGATGACTGGGAAGAAGCCCTGTGATCAGTCAGGACACTGCAGTTGCTGAGGGAGGGGACCCTTGGTGAGGCAGGAGGCAGTGGAAGGTTCTACAGCGGGGTGCTCCCCCTGTGCTCTCTGGGGATTTCCTTGAATTCAGTTTAGAAACGAGGATCTAAAAATTACTGGAAAATAAGATGGAAACACACTCCACTCCTGGATATACTGTACAAAAGAAATGAATCATTTTTTTTAGAGCCATTTTCCTTGGCTAAGCAGATTCAAAGATTGCTTATTCTAACTGTCTAGAACTTGAGGCTTTATTTGCCCCTGGAGGAGGAAATAGCAACCCACTCCAGTGTTCTTGCCTAAGAAATCTCAAGGACAGAGGAGCTTGGCAGGCTGCAGTTCACAGGATTGCAAAGAGTCAGACATGACTGAGAGATTGAGCACAAACTAGACTTTATTTGCATTAAAACATAACATAAAGGCACCCCGAGAATGTAAGTGCATGATACTATGCCTCGTTTATTTTTAAATTCAACTATAAAGTCGACAGTTTTTCAGTACTGTCTGAAAAATAAAATATGCACTACCTACACCAAGCATATAGTATATTTATTTGGAATTACAATATGACCAGCATGTTAATTATTTCTGACTTAATTAATTGAAAATTGTTACTGATAATTGTCATAAGTGGAAAGCATTGTCAATTCTTATTATCATCAGTACATAAGCTATTAGTAAGTAGGTAAAGAATATCATTATATGAATGTCTCTGTAACTTGGAATTACAGTTTTATTGTATTAAGTAAACAAAAGCCTATATGTAAGATGTGTCTGTATCTCATTTCATAATTGAATAACGAAACTGTTTTCAAGTTAATGTAACATGGCTCTCTGCCAAAAAGTTAATATGCTAGCATTAAAAAATTCTTTGTGGTATTATAATAGATGCCTGTCATTAATTATTATTTGATTTTAAAATGGATTTTCTCGATAGTATAAATGTCCGGTCTATTGAGAATTATTTACTCACCTGACATAGATTTGCACATTTGAGCTACTTAAATACTATGTCTATTTGCAGGATACATTTAAAGTCTATCTAACAAAGTAATTCTTCCACCTAGAACAATCTCAAGCATTTCCCACTAAAACAGAGCTTTTATAAGCTGTCTAAATGGCCAACAGCTGTTAAAATATTATCAGCTCCAATATTAGAAGTATTTGAACTTCCCGAACATTCTTCTGCTATAAAGATGTGTTCATTAACACAGTAGTTGCATAAAGACCCCTATGCCTGGTTTGCTATAACCTTCTATCTCTCCTGGAGTGTCTTTGCAATTCTCTTTATTGCTGCCTTTTCAAAACTGAAATGAATCAAGTGATCAGTGGTCAAAATTTTTCACATTGTATGACTTGTATTTTATTTACAATTTTTCAGAATTATTCAACCTTCTGCTTTACTTTTTTAAAAATTTGAGTATAGTTGCTTTATCCCTGGAGAAGGGTATGGCAACACACTTCAGTATTCTTGCCTGGAGAATCCCATGGACCAAGGAGCCTAGAAGGTTATAGTTCATATGGTTGCAAAGAGTTGGACACAACTGAAGCGACTTAGCATGCATGCATGCATAGTTGCTTTATAATTTGTGTTAGTTTCTGCTGTACAACAAAGTGAATCCGCTATATATATATGTATATATATATATCCATATATCCCCGCTCTTCAGCCTCTCTCCCATCACCCCCCATCCCACACCTCTAGGTCATCATATAGCAACTTCACACTAGCTATCTGCTTTGCACATGGTAATGTATATACATGAGTGCTACTGTCTCAGTTCATCCCACCTCCCTTTGAGTAACTCATCCCACCTCCACCCTCCCCTTCCCCCTGCCCCTCATGTCCACAAGTCCATTCTCTACATCTGCGTCTCTATTCCTGCCCTCCAATAGGTTTGTATGGCCTGTACTTTAAAACTGGGAAATGTTTGCCTCCTATCTGTATCTATGTCCTAAAATACCCCACTTCTAGATTGGCCTTGCAGCCACTTTCATACCCTCCAGTTGCTCTCGCCCTCTTTGCTCTATATCCTTCTTCCCCTGTGGCTACATGGCCTCCGGGTGGGCTCGCAATTATCTTCTGTTTCCCTGGGCTTCCCCAGTGGATGCCGTCTCTCCCCCAAGTCCCACATCACCGTGGTGATCCTAAACAAGGAGAGAAGGAGATAGGTCCTAACAGGTTACCTCCAAGTAGCATTTCTTCTTTACCTGCTGATGAGAAATAAAAGTCTATATCCCACCAACCCTGAGTTACATTATTTTACCTTGGCCTCAGGAGAAAGCGCAATTGGAAATGCAACTTCCTGGCTTCCTCTTACTGGACTATAAATTCCTTTAGGAAATGTTCATGTCTAATTTGATTTCATCCTTAAAATCGTAATGTCAAATGGGCAACTGTGTCTCCCACATTACTTCAGAGAAATTTAGTCTCCCCATAAGATGTCTCTTTGAATATCTTCAAGTATGCACTTAACCAATCCCTCTTCTGAGACCTCCTGAAAAGCTATTTGAATAGCACTTGTAATATTTTTTTTTTTCTTTTGGTCTTGCTTAATCTCACAAGACCTCCAAAAATTGGCGGTGTAAGGTTTCCTTTCTTGCTTCTACATGAGTTAGTCTGCACGGCAATGCTGGAGACTAAGCTCAAGTAGAGGCAAGAAAGGCGGCACACATTGAATAGCACTTGTAATATTTTATATTCCCATCTGTATATGTAACGCCAGCTCTATTCACCCTTCTTCCTACCATAGAAGGAAAGCAAAGCAAAACAAAGTCGCTCAGTCGTGTCTGCTCTACGACCCCATGGACTGTGGCCTACCAGGCTCCTCCGACCATGGGATTTTCCAGGCAAGAATACTGGAGTGGGTCGCCATTTCCTTCTCCAGCCATAGAAGGAAGGGTCACACAATGCATAAAAAAAAAAGTCTTGCTGTCAGCTGGTCAAGCACACAGTTTTCTATAGTTCCTGACCTCCAGTTTATGGATACATACATGTTTTTTCTTTCTTTTTTTTTTTTTTTGACCTCGCTCCATGGCGTGTGGGAATTTTGTTCCCTTACCAGGGGTTGAACCCACACCCCCTCATTGGAAGCGTGGAGTCTTCACAACTGGACCACCAGGGAAATCCCATACATTTTTTATTTTTTCCTTTTTTATACATACACTCTTTAAGAGCATCAATTTTCTTATCCGTTTCTTTCATTAAAATCGTGTATAAGGCACTATGATAGGCACACAGTCATCTAATGATCCCCTTGGTTGTTCCTCACTGAGCTTTGTCAAACTTGGGAAGATGACAACCAAACACTGAACTTTGTCAGTCTTGGGGAAAGAACAACTAAACACGAGCTTTGTCAGTTTTGGGGAAATGACAACTAAGTGCCTGGAGCAAAGGGTTGGCGTCAGATGGCAGCAGCTGTCTGAAGAGAGGACCAAATGCAGGGTAGAAATTGATTCCTACACATGCCACTGGAAGCCAAGTGTTTGCAAACCAGTCTTTCCCCATGACCTGCTCCATTTGTACTCATTTCTAATCAGAAAACTATTCTTTCATTTTAAAATGAAACTTGAATTTTAAAGTTTTAAGTATTTAAGTATACTTAAGTATTAAATACTTAAGTATTTAAGTATTTTAAGTATTTAAGAAGTAATACTTCTTAAAGTATTAAGAAGTTATAGCTTCTATAGAGTTCATGCTTTCAACATCTTACCAATCAAGAGGATCACTTGAATATACACATCACAACAGCACATCACTTTACTAGGGATATATTTTCATAGTTATTGAAAGAGTGAAACCCATTTTTATCATGAGATCTTTCTGGTGCTTCAGCAAATGGGTATTTGAATTGTAATACAAATCTATTTCATATTTTGTTTTTCTAATCTCCTCTGTAGAGCTTTCCAAACTGCTTTGCAGATGCTGGGTTAGTTGGAAGCCATTGGGCATTTTTTTAAAAGTAGGCTTTAGGTAACTTTTTTTCCTTCCCCACAAACCTCTAAGTGAGGGAGTTTGCCATGATCTTCCATTTTGGTCTGAGATGTTGACAATAGAAGAGCTAGAATTTAGGGCAATAGAAGAGCTTGGATTCAGGGTCAATAGTAGAGCTAGAATTCAGTTTCCACTAGTCTTTCATGATCTGATTCCAGCTTGAGCTTCATCCAGCCCAGCATTTCTCATGATGTACTCTGCATATAAGTTAAATAAGCAGGGTGACAATATACAGCCTTGACGTACTCCTTTGCCTATTTGGAACCAGTCTGTTGTTCCATGTCCAGTTCTAACTGTTTCTTCTTGACCTGCATACAGATATCTCAGGAGGCAGGTCAGATGGTTTGGTATTNCCTTGGACTGCAAGGAGATCCAACCAGTCCATCCTAAAGGAAATCAGTCCTGAATATTCATTGGAAGGACTGATGTTGAAGCTGAAACTTCCAATACTTTGGCCACCTGATGCGAAGAACTGACTCAATTTTGAAAAGACTCTGATGCTGGGAAAGATTGAGGGCAGGAGGAGAAGGGGACGACAGAGGATGAGATGGTTGGATGACATCACTGACTCAATGGACATGAGTTTGAGTAAACTCCGGGAGTTGGTGATGGACCGGGAAGCCTGGTGTGCTGCAGTCCATGAGGTCGCAAAGAGTTGGACATGACTAAGCAACTGAACTGAACTGCATGATCTGATACACTGTCATTGTTTCTTTTCCTTCTGTAAAAATTATAGGTTATTTATTTATTTAGTTTTGGCTGTGCCGGGTCATGATTGCCGCACACAGGCTTTCTCTAGTAGCAGCAATAGGGGGCTACTCTTCTTTGTGGTGTGTGGACTTCTCATTGCAGTGGTTCCCTCTGTTGTGGAGCATCGGCTCTAGGCACTTGGACTTCAGTAATTGTGGCCCATGGGCGTAGTTATGCCATGGCATGTGGAATCTCCCAGACCAGAGATCGAACCCATGTCCCCTGCATTGGCAGAAGGACTCTCAGCCACTCTCAACCATTATCAATCAGGGACCACGAGAGAAGTCCCTGTTTCTCTTTATTGCCATCAACAACCCAAAATTGAGCAGACCTAAAGAGAACCTCTACAGACCTGGGCCAACCAATAAGCCAACCAAGGCGTTCTCTGTTACGGAAAAATAATCCACAGGTGAATGTGGGCTTCTTTTTGTTTTTTGCCAATTTAGGTTTAACTACATTCAAAACATTAATATGTTTAACTACAACCATTCAACAATGTTTCAGAGACACTGTCCTTCTTATAATAGACTCTCTATTTTCTTTTGCTAATATTTTTTAAAGATAGTTTTAAATGTTATCCTTCATAAGGCACTATTTTATAGTGTTTTTGAACGTATTATTTAAATGCCTAAAAGAATTTTAAACAAGACATTATCAATGCAGTTAAACTTTAAATATTGATATATTTATTCATATGAATTTAACAATTTATCCCCTATGAAAGACTAACCAAGTTTTCAAAAAGAGCTTCCTTTTACACAATAGAAAAAGCTGATATAGTCAGGTGGCACAATACAGATAACATCTTCCCACCATTAATTTGAGAAGTGACCTTGTACATATGCATAAACATAGCAAGATCCGGATTTTGGATAGCTATTGTCTTATGGAATTTGATGCAAAAGTAAGCTTAAATTCATGGTTCTGATTCATGTGAAAATTAAAAGTAATCACTAAAGGCCAAATTATTTAAAATATAAACGTAGAACACATTCAAGGCTAAGGTCAGGATCCTTTGGGGGCGGGATGGCAGACTTGTTTAGTAGGTATAGAAGCTGTATAAACACTAAGCAAAGGGTTATGGTGATGATAATTAAAAAATCGACGTTAGGAAATGAAAATTCTTACCGCTTAAAAT